TTCTCATATTTCCATCCTCATGACAGGTAGTGGCAAAGTTCCTGAGAATGCAGAGATGTGTAATAGTGTGCCTCAGTGGAAAAAGGCTTCCCAAACAACTCGTGAACTCCTGTGTATTATACAGATCAGTGCAAAATAATTTCTGAACATACTTAATTATTTAGGTGGCATCCTTGCTCACAGACTAGGTTTGTGGGCACAGCCATAGAGTTTTGAAGTCTGAGAAAAATGAAGCAAATATGAAAGTGTTATCAAGGACGGGGTAAAAATTTGTGAAGGACAAATTCCAGAAAGGGCTACCTGTTAAATTCTCATCAAAAAATGCTGAAATTTAGGCATTTGCATGGACATATACACATGATATCCTTCTGAATGGAAAGGAAAAGGTGTGTCATCTCTGAATTAAGAGCTGATTTATTGGCTTGCTTTTTCATAGTTTAAATATGGAAATGCTCTGCAATGGAATTTACTAAGTGATGTAAAGGAGAAGCTCTAAACAGAAATTTGCAGTGATATCAATAGTTAGGCATGAAGGGTTTCCTGCTGAGGATCGATCAGAGGAGCATGGAAAGGTTGTGCAAGTGACTGACAGAATGCAGGAAGCCAATAGCAGGACACACAACAGAGATGATCTTCACTGAAATTCAGGTAGTTCTTAGAGTAAGTGTGAAGTTAAAGTTGGGTTCTGATTGCTTTCTTGAGTTGATCATCACCAGCTCTGGCAACAATCAGTATTTCACAACCTTGCCAACCCATGAATTTTCTGTTCCATACTTGAGATCTAATTTGGATTATCTCTAATTATGCCCCAGTGTCATGAAGGTAAAATGTGGATTTTTTTTGTACCAAGGATCGAACTCATGACCTATGCTTTCCAGGCAGGCATTCATGCCACTGAGCTAAATACCCAACTATGAACGTGTTTTCTTTGTTGTATGGAAGATATCCACATTGTTTCCCAGAAAGTGTTGAATATTGTTGGAATTTTTCCATATTATATGGCTATAATTTTTAAAAACAAACCAAAGGTGTCTTATGCAGTCTCTTTTCAAGTTTTGCTTTGTCTTTGGGGTGTCACAGTCAGGGTTTCTCTATTTTAGACAGCTCTGTAACTTAGGATAGCCCCAAATTCAAGGAAGAAGTCCCTCACCAGCCTCACAAGATATATTCCTTATATCTGAATTGAAAGTGAACGCTTGGTGAAAGTGAGCTATAAATTACAGCTGGGGCCTGGTTCCATTTTATATACTTATTTTTTAAAAACAGCATTTCGCACTAACGTTTGGGTTATTATTTGTGTACCATATTGGATGGTATTTATGTTTTGTTCTATGAAACCAAGTTCATGTTTCAAAATGCTGCTGAAGTATATTAAGAACAAAGTACTCTCTGGCCTAAATGAGATTAGAAGAGACATTATCTGCAGGCTATCAAAGTGATTGGTGAGATTTTTTTTCCTTTTTTTAAATTTTGAAAGTGGTAAAATACAACAGAACAAGGCAGAATATGGCCAACTAAGATCACACAGTGAAATTGGTACACAACTTCACAACTGGTTACTGCGTTAACAGTAATAGGTATCACAGTATATTTTATTATCTTTATAATAGTTGTTCTTTTTTTTTTTTTTGTCTTTTTCCTTTTTATCTGTACCGGGGATAGATACCACGACTGTCTGCTTGCAAGGCAGGTGCTTATGCCACTGAGCTAAATCTCCAGCCCCAATAGTTGTTCTTTCAAACACGTATATCAAAATGAGATGAAATACAGAACATTATAGTACTTATCAAAACAGAATATTGAATAGAGCAATACCATTAATCAGAAAAGAGCAAAACAGTAATAAAAATATTTGCCTTCAAAGAGACAGTAGAAGGAAGTCCCCCTTATTTGTTATCGTCTGCTTCCCAGGAGTCGCTCAGATTTCTGGTTCCCATTTGCTAACGGGGGGGGGGTGACAGGAGAAGAGGGTTAGGGAAGTGGGATGTTTGATTCTAGGTGGTGCATCAGTAGGTTCACTATTGCTTGGTAGGGACACAGGCTGGTTGTTTTGTTTCACAGCGTCCTAAGTTCCCACATGGCATGGATCTCAGGAACTGCTGCTAGTTCTCCTGCTGGAATTCCGCATTCTGCCAGAACTCCACCACTTACCATGGAGAAGTGGTGCTTGCTTGCCTTCCAAGTGTCCTAAATTCCAGCATGGCATGGATCTCAGGAGCTGCTGCTGGTTTGCCCCTGGATAGGCCACAGTCTGGCACATCATCACCACTTACCAGGGAAGGGAGGTGCTTGTTTGGCTTCCCATTTGATTGATGGGATATTTATCTGCTTCTGTGCTTTGTGGATGCTGGTCCAACAGGCTTCTCACTGTGAGCTCTGCTTTAGAGAATACACGGGGAATATTGCAGTGACTCAGCACAAGAATCAGTGCTCCTATTTCACTGTTACATTAGCAGTGAGTTGCAATCTAGCATCAAATTAGCTGTCTTCAAAAATGTGTATATATACAAAATTAATGACCAAGACATGGATTTAAATTTGAAAAAATCAGTCTTCATTCAGCTGTTTTCTTTGGTTGTATTTGTTTAGTTTTGTTTTGTTTTATTGAGACAAGCTTTCTATATGTATATCAGCTAGATTTGAACACCCTAGAATTGCCCTGAATTCACTGAAACCATCCTGCCTCAGCCTTTTGAGTTCAGGGCATAGAATTGCCCTGAACTGACTGAAACCATCCTGCCTCAGCCTTTTGAGTGCTGGCATTATAGATATATACCACCACACTTTGATTTTGATTCAGATTTGTAGGAGAGAATTTAAGATATCCCAAACCTGGTGTCTCAATGTTCGTGTGAGAAATATATGTATGATCCTTTAGGAGGTGGTGACCTTTGAGGATGTGGTCATCAACTTCAGCAATGAGGAGTGGACTTTGCTGAGTCCATCCCAAAAGAACCTCTACAGAGATGTGATGGGCGACACCTTTAGGAACATGACTGCAATAGGTAATGACAAAATACTCTTGTCACTCATGCTGTCAGAATGTTGTATGTTGCTGTTTAATTAAAAACTATGTGAAAATATTTTTAAAAATAGCTCAGACCTGGACACATTATGTCATAACTCTAAACAAAATCTATTAATTTGTATGTATTATTCTAATGAGCACTGGTATTTCTATGTCTACAATTCAGGAGGACTTGGGGATATCCAGGAAGCTGAAAAAGAATGCAAAATTTACTGGAGATATTTAAGGTAATTTGCACTCATAAGGAGAAGGAATGTTCCTGAGTAATTAGTGAGTCAGCAGAAAAATACCACCAAAGAAATGAGGCACCATTCAATTTATTGTCAGTAATATTCTCCGAAGACGTATAAGCTAGGGTATGTATAATGAGTGGATTAAATCAAGAAAATGTATGACATTGCATATAGATGTGTATGAAAGGCATACACTTTGAGTTATGACATTCTCTCTTCAGTTTTTCTACCCATATATACATGTGAATACAACACACTCATCATCTAATCATTGCTAAGATTGCAATAGAATTTGAAATAAAACGGAGTTCTTGTGTTTCCAAGCCATGCTCTAAAGAATCAGCCATTCTGACTAAAATTCTTAGAAGGCTGGTAGAATGTTAATTGCACTCATTCTGAATATCAGTGTGCAGTTGTCTCTAGAAATTGATCCCCTCATTCTTTTCCTGGATATATTTTTAAAAATTCAAAATGCACATAAAATACTGATACATGCTTACTCATATATAAAGCAGATCAAGTTATAATAGATCAGGCCTTGAAGAAGCTTATCTATCTATCACTGGATTTGTGGAGAAGGAAAATGTTAATAGACTCTTTGTGATTGTGCATTCTTGTAAATCCAGCACACTAGGAATCAGATTTTGCAGAACTGCAAATTCAAGTTCAAACGTCACAGCTTAATGATCAGTGAAAATGTCTTAAAACATATTTTAAAAGCTATAGATTTTATGCTAATAGCTGTTGTTCATTCCCAGCATGGCAAAGAAAAAAATGTGTTATATAATGTCAAAAAATAAAGAATATAATGTCATTTGCCATAAGAAATAGGTGGTTCTTTCTCCCATCAATTCGGTGAAATAGCTCAGCTATGAAACCTAAAAGTTCACAGGGTTTATCTTAGATGAGAAACCAAAATATAAATTGTGGAATGAAATGAAAGAGTTAATAGAGAAAAATAAGACTGACCATATGGAAAAGGGAACTACAGGTTAAGGGCAGAAGGGAGATTGTGATGGGGAAACATATCATAATGATCTGTATGTATACACATATGTACCCATGCCCAAAGTGAAGATAAAGATTCTGCATTTCAAAAGGTACCAAATTTTAAGATTTCCAAATGTGTACCTGTCTTTTGGGAATGGTTGTTTTCAACATGTCTTACAAGTCCATTCTGTTACTTCATGGTCAGAGTTTCTTAGCAGGCATTAAAAACAGAACTTTACATTAATGCAGTCATTAAACTGAGACCCATTTCACTGTGAATGTTTCTTTTTTATTTAATGTAAGGAAAGACTAAAAAAACAAAATAAGTAGAAATGATACCACTTTCAAAGTGAAAATAAACAGTAAGAAATCTAAAGACAGTGATGACATATGCTGCTCATAGAAATAGTTAATGAAATACAAAAGTGAAACATATGATGTGGGGATTCAAACAGTGAGACTGCAAACAATTTTGTTGAAATCTCCAAAAAAACTTAGTAATATGTTTATCAATCCAATACATGATTTTTTTTTTTTACAGAAATGACAATGTAGGGAAATCCTATGGACATACATCTTGGAATCAGTGTAAAGAAGTAATCCTTTGTACTGCAGAAGGTAATGTGAATGTGAAAGAAGCAGAAACACACCACAATGTTCAGATCCATGAAAAATATGGCAGTGAGGAGAAATCCTATGAATGTCAGCAGTGTGGAAAAGGGTTCACCAAATCTCGATATTGTAAGCAACATGAAATAATTCACACTGGAGTGAAACCATATGTATGTAAGAAATGTGGGAAAGCTTTTAACACACGGGCAAATTGTCAAATACATGAAAGAATTCACACTGGAGAGAAACCCTATGTATGTAAGCAATGTGGGAAAGCTTTTAACACACAGACAAAGTGTAAAATACATGAAAGAATTCACACTGGAGAGAAACCATATATATGTAAGCAATGTGGGAAAGGTTTTACCCAACGTGGAGCTTGTAAGCAACATGAAAGAATTCACACTGGAGAGAAACCATATGTATGTAAGCAATGTGGGAAAGCTTTTAACACACATGCATATTGTAAGGTTCATGAAAGAATTCACACTGGAGAGAAACCCTATGTATGTAAGCAATGTGGGAAAGCTTTTAACACACGTGCACATTGTAAGGTTCATGAAAGGATTCACACTGGAGAGAAACCCTATGTATGTAAGCAATGTGGGAAAGGTTTTACCCAACATGGAGCTTGTAAACAACATGAAAGAATTCACATTGGAGAGAAACCATATGTATGTGAGCAATGTGGGAAAGCTTTTAACACACGTGCACATTGTAAGGTTCATGAAAGAATTCACAATGGAGTGAAACCATATGTATGTAAGCAATGTGGGAAAGCTTTTAACACATGGGCAAATTGTAAAATACATGAAATAATTCATACTGGAGAGAAACCCTATGTATGTAAGCAATGTGGGAAAGCTTTTAACACATGGGGAGATTTTAAGAAACATGAAAGAATTCACACTGGAGAGAAACCCTATGTATGTAAGGAATGTGGGAAAGCTTTTAACACATGGGCAAATTATAAAGTACATGAAAGAATTCACACTGGAGAGAAACCCTATGTATGTAAGCAATGTGGGAAAGCTTTTAACACACGGGCAAAATGTAAAATACATGAAAGAATTCACACTGGAGAGAAACCATATGTATGTAAGCAATGTGGGAAATGTTTTACCCAATATGGACATTGTAAGCAACATGAAAGTTTACACTCAAGGTAGAACCAGTATATATAAGCATCATGAGAATTTTTTGAGTACAAGTACGTATTGCATAATGCATGAAAAACTTCACACTGGACAGAAAACATATATATGTAAGGAATGTGGAAAAGGTTTTAGCAGAAATGCTCATTGTCCAACACATGAAAAAATTTACAATGTTGAGAAACCCTGTTTATGTGAAGAATGTGGGAAAGCTTTCACCACACATGGATTTTGTAAAATACATCAATGACTCCACTCTGGTGAGAAAACCTATATATATAACAATGTGGCAAAACTTTTACCACAGTCATTGCAAAACACATGAAAGAATTCACACTGGGAAGAACCACTGGATACGTAAGCAAGTGGAGACACTTTCAGCAGCCAGATTGCAAGTGAAATACGTGAACAAGCTCACACAAGAGATAAATCCTATGTGTTATCGGAATACTCTCAGCACACATGATCATTGTTACATATCTGAAAGAGCTCACTTTATCCTATGTACATTAACAATGTGAGAAATACGGCAATCCATGTTTGTTGTTAAATACATAGAAAAATCAGCACTCTTCAGACAGTTTAAATCTAAGTTTACTTTAAAAATTCCAAGTGGACCTGAAGAAATAATCAATACAGAAGTTTGATGTCAATATTTCTTCACAAATTTTCCAGAAATGACAAATCTGAAGTGGAGCTCTACTCAAGCACATATTTTGTATGGTTTTCAGTTAATCACTTATACCTCTTTAGATTTTTTAAAGTATCTTTGTGCTTCAACATAGCATCTTATAATTAAACATGGTAAACTGAAATGGGCTTTTCACTTTCAAGTATGGATAGTGTCTATGTACTTAATATTTTGTCTTTAAACCTTAATTTTTATATTTTTGGTGAATTATTTTTATTTAAAGAAAAAAACCAAAAAGTGTAGAAATAATACAGAAGTTCTGAAAAATAAACAATAAGAAATCACTAGTTGATTAGTTACATATTGTCATCTTAGAAGTAATTGTTCAAGTTACAAAATTAAAGCATATAAAGTGATATTCAAATAATGACACTGCAAACTGTTCACCTCAGTGATCCAACAAAAACATATTAATATGCTTATCTGTTCTACAAACTTATTTTTTATCTTAAAGATGGTAAGATTAAATATGACACACAGAACAGTTTATAAGGAAACAAGTTAAGGAAACACAGGTTTCAAAGCAAGTCCACTGAGATGTTCATTTTCTATCTTACTGTGTCTAGTTTTCTTCAAAATAGTTGTTCCCATCTTTACAAGCATTGAATATACACTGAACATTATAGAACTAATCAAATAATTACAGGATGATAAAGGCTTTTTTGATCTTCAAGACTGATTTTGGAGAAGTTGATGATGATTACCATAATGTGTCTCATTCTCTTCATAGTAGACATCTTTATTTTTATGTACGCTGAAATTGAACATAAGAGACTAAACTAATATCACTCTGAACAGTGAATAATAGTATCCCGAGAAGGAGAAAGGTGAGGAATTGCCTAAAAAAAGAAGGCAGAGCACACTGTGAAAAGTGTATTAGGATTTAAAAGCTACAGTAGTTCTGTTGCTCTGTTTAGTTTGATTATATTTTGTTCTGGTCTGTCTACTCATATTAGATTTGAGGGCACAGATAGATAACCCAAAAATGGCAGGTTATACCATGATGGTAATTGTCCTTAATTTCCTATTAACTAAAACTGAAACCCTGTATTACTAACATTGTCTTAGTATGACTGATCTTATTTTAAGCTGGTTTGTTTGAATGTTATTTGGCCTTGACTGATTTTATTCACATTTGGTATGATTGCTGGTATCAAGTCCAAGAGTAGAGGCAACTACTCTGAAGATGATAAGATGTGAAAGATATATATTGGGGGGCTGGGGATTTAGCTCAGTGGCTTAAGCCCCTGCCGGGCAAGTGTGAGGTCATCAGTTTGATCCCCAGTACCAAACAATAAATACATAAAAGATATAAATTCCATGTTTAATTTTTTTTATTTAAGGAGAAAAAAAACATAAAAAAGCAAAGCAGTAAAGGGGTACAAATAATACAGAATTTCAAGAATAAAATACAATAAGAAATCACTAGTTAATAGGTTACATATTGTCTTCTTAGAAACAGTTGTCCAAATTATAAAAATTAAAGCATATAAAGTGAACATTCCTACAGTGAGACTGCAGACAGTTCCGTTCAGTGATCCAACAAAAGCTCAGTAATATGGTTTTCCTTCCTACACACTGAAACAGGCACTTACTTCCCTTAAACCACCTTCCTTTCCTCTCTTCTTCACAATAACAATTACACTTTTGGTTTTTTTTTACTACCATAGTTCTTATTACTTTTTTTGAAGAGAACAAAACCTCAAGTGAGTTAGCAAAACAGAGTTGGTTAGAACATAAGGATGCGCATAGTCCTTGATGCAAAAATAGAGTATCAGGTGATCAAAAATGGTTACCACTGTGCCTCTTGCTATTTTTAAAAAGAGTTCCCTATATCATCAGGTATAATAGAATTGATAAAAACAGTACAGAACAAGACCAATAAAATCTACACTGGAAACCTTACAGAATTTCAAAAGAAGATAATAGTCAAACCATAATGGGCATCATAGTAAATCTTATTGCCTACAAAGTGGTTGCCTATACTCTCAAACTTGATACTATCAAACAAAATAGAATATAATAAAATCAGGCAGAACAAGATGGGGAGAGCAATACTGGGGTTAAAATCAGGTTAATAGGAAAGCAAAAAAAGTTACTATAATATATCCCACTATTTTTTAATTTGGTTTTCCTTTAATTGAAAAAAAATAGAATATTTTTTTAAAAAGGGTGGAGATCGAGAAAAAAGAGACATTGTAATAGAACAACACAGGTCAGAACTGAACAATTAAAGCATCATTTGGTTTCACCACCAGGTAATCTAACATAATAGTAGTCACCATAGTGCCTCTTTCCTTGAATTATTTGAGTATAACTTCGTATACTATAGAATCAATCACATCAAGACGGTGTGAAGCCATTCAAGACAATGAAAGAATTACAGGGTATTTAGAGCCAGTTAACAGAAAATTAACAACGATTTCTATATTATCTCTTTGCCTGTAAAAAATTGTTTTATACTATCACAGTAAAATATATTAAGATGCAACATGTTAAATCCAGTGGAAACATGTACAACAACTTGATGGGTGTTCCAAAGGAGAGGATATTAAATCAGCACTAGCTTTTATGTGTTATTTTCTTCAGAACAGCTATTTTCGGTACTAAAATCGAAAAACCCAGGGTAAAACCATTGCACTTAATGAGTGAAAACATTATATGTATTCAAACCAATATGATTGGGTATCATGATTACCACATACTTCTATGTATTATCATTTCTTATACTAGGGAATATATTTGGTATTCATACATTCATACATTCATACATTTATTTCACTTATGAGTATGGTCTCAGTCTGTGTCCATTTATTTATATGTCAGTGTGATCATTCTTTATAGCTGAGTAGTTCTGCATTGTATAAAAACACCATAACTTTTTTTATCCATTCCTCAGTTGATGGACACTTAGGTTGTTTCCAAGATCTGGCTATTACAAACTGTGCTGTTATAAAAATGGGTGCATATATATCACTGTGGAATGATGATTTCAGTTCTTCTGTGAATATGCCTAGAAGTAGAATAGCTGGGTCAAAAGGTGCTTCCAGTCCCAGCTTTCTGAGAAATCTCCAGACTGAGCTCCACAATGGATGTACCAGTCTACACTCCCACCAACAGTGCAGGAAAGTTCCTTTGTCCCAACAGCGTCTCCAACATTTGTTGTTGGTGGTTTTCTTGATCTTGGCCATTATTTCGGGAGTGAGATGAAATCTCAGTGTGGTTTTAATTTGCATTTTTCTAATGACCATTGATGGTGAACATTTTTTCATGTATTTAGTTGTCATTTGTATTTCTTCATCTCAAAATTGTTTATTCATCTCAGATGCTCATTTTTGGATTGGGTCTTTGAATTTTGGTGGTCTCGTTTTTGAAAATTCTTTATATGTTTTAGACAGAAGTCCTCTGTCTGAGGGGCAGTTCACTAAGATTTTTTCCCAGTTTGTGGGTTTTCTTTTCACTATACTGGAGATTTCTTTTGATGTGCAGAAACTTTTTAATAAGAGGTGATCCCAGTGATTGATTCTGGGAAGCATTTCCCATGCAGTTTGAGTCCTGTTCATGAATTCTCTACCTATTCCTATGTCTTCACGGTTTTTACCCAACTTGTCTTTCAATAGATTTAGTGTTTCTGTTTTAATATTTAGATCTTTGATCTCCTTAGATTTTATTTTAGTACATGGTGATAGGCATGGGTCTAGTTTTAGTTTTAGGCATATGGAGAGCCAGTTTTTCACCACCATTTATTAAAGAGAATGTCATTCTTCCAGTGAACATGTTTGGCCCCTTTATCAAAATTAAGGTAGTTGAGTGTGTTTGTAGTTGTGGTTGTATCTTCTCATCTATTCCACTGATCTTCGGCTCTGTTTTGATTCCAGTAGCATGTTGATTTTATTACAGTTGCTTTGTAGTATAACTTCAAGTCAGGGATTGTGGTACCTCCTGCCTTGCTTTTGCTGCCTCTAACTGTCTTTGCTATTCTAGGTTTCTTCTCATTCCAGATGAATTTTAGGGGTGATTTCTGAAGTTCTATGAGGTATGTTGATGGTATTTTTATTGGGATTTCATTGCATCTATATAAAAGTTTTGGGAGAATGGCCATTTTCACAATATTTATTCTTCCTATCCATGAGTAAGGGATATCTTTCCTTTTTTTGAGATCAACTTCAATTTCATTTTTCATTGTGTTATAATTTTCCCTGTGTAGGTCTTTCACTTCTTTCATGAGAGTAATTCCTAAATATTTCATTTTTTTGGTTGCTAGTGTGAAGGGTGTGGCCTCTCTTATTTCTGTCTCTGTGATTTTGTTGTTAGTGTATAGGAATGTTATTGATTTTTGAGTATTGATTCTGTATCCAGCTACATTACTGAATTTATTTATTATATCTAGGAGTCTTTCAATGGAGCTTTGGGGATCTGCTATATAAAGTATCATGTCATCTGCAAATAATGATAATTTAACTTCCTCTTTCCCTATCGTTACTCCTTTATTTTCTCCCTCTTTTCTAATTGCTCTGCCCAGTATTTCCATTACTATATTAAGAAGGAGCTGTGATAAGGGACATCCTTGTCTTGTGGCTGATTTTAAAGTAAAGGCCTTCAGATTTTGACCATTTAGTATGGTACTGGCTGCTCTTTTGTCATTGCCGGCCTTAATTATATTGAGGTAAGGATCATCTATTCCAATTTTCTGCATGGTTCTTATCATAAATGAATGTTGGACCTTATCAAAAGCTTTTCCTGCTTCTATAGTAATGATCATGTGATTATACCTTTTGGCTCTATTGATATGGTGTATTGCATTTATTGATTTACATATATTAAACAATCTCTGCATGCCTGGGATGAATCCCACTTGGTCATGGTATATGATCTTCTTGTTGATTAGGTGCATCCTATTTGCCGATATTTTATTGAGGTTTTTTGCATTTTTGTTCAATAGGGAGATTGGTCTGTAGTTCTCTTTTTCTGTTGGGACCTCCTCCGGTTTTGGTACTAGAGTAATATTTGCTTCTAGGAACAATTTATGAAGGATTGCTTGCCTTTCCATTTAAATGAAGAGTTTGAGGAGTGTTTGCACTAGGTCTTCTTTGTATTTCTTGTAGAAT